ATGTGAGCGGATGCTTGAAATCTCTGAAGCCTGTCCGCTGCTGAACAGCCATGATTCTTGTCGCCTCACTCAAAGTGCCTTGTTACGAGGATGAAAATAGCCTGGACTCGCGGAACGGCGCTTCTCAACCCTATCGTGCCGATTTACCTTCAGCAGCTCGGTTCAACATAACTACACACACGTGCTCAAGTGCCGTCCTGCACAGTGACAGGACGTCGTTCGATTACGTGCTTAAGGAATCGCTCGCTGTCCCTGACGATCATCTAGGTCGGTTGTGGCATTTAGCTAATCGCTTTATCAACTTGACTATCGAATCATTGGCATCCACGCCCCATTCTCCATAGGCTGGCTCTATCGTTCTATCGGATTGCTTAAGATCGTCAGGAACTACAGCAGACACGCTGCGCGACAGCGGCATTGGTGTGATTCAACGCTTGGACCAAGTGACAAGAGCCCTCCCGTGAAATCCATCGTGGCCGGACTCCCGCGCACCCGGATAGAGGACGCCCGCCAGGGAGAGCCAGCTGCCAGGAGGCGAGTCATACTGATGACGAGTGTAACTAGCTATTCGGCATAGGTCGTCGAGAAACGTCGGCGTTCTGGCTCGGTTAGAGGTCGGCGAACTCATGTTCCTGAGATCGACGCGACCGCGCGGAATGGCAACCAGAGCGAGGACAGAATTCGCAGCCTTGATGTGGCTGTGTTACCCTTTCTCCGCGCGACAATTGTGTATGCAGGGTGTCAATCTCTCCGAGAAGTCGGCATCTGAGCAGAAAAACAAAACATCAGGCACACCAACCAGATGTTTCACGCCCAACCGTACGAAAGCAAGGACGCATCATCTGGAAGGGATGTGATCCTGGGGTATTGGGCGATTAAATGACGATCCACGGAATTCTTCAGGATGCCCAGTTGACAGATCGTAGACTAGCCTAATGAGCATAGAGCGAAGCCGTATCCGACGCTGGCTTACCATCCGGTGGAAGCTAGCGGCACATCGTTTGCTGACAGGTGCACACTGACAACTTTATCGACATCGCGCACCCTGGCACATCTCCCGCGTCCAAGATGAATCTTCGGGAGAGAATGTCGATCTTCGCACCCTGCACCATGCCGCGAACCTTCTTTCCTGTCGTCTCGCCGATTCTTTCATCAACTTCCAACGCCTGAGGCGGTCTGTATAAGGTTGGAGGCGTCTGCCAACTTCACGATACCAGTGTCGTCGAACGAGCTTCAGTACTCATCACGCTCTTTGAACATTCCCCTACTGACACCATGGTGAACCCACTCCTTGTCCTCGACGGCGTTGGCTGGACGTACATTACCATCTTCATTCTTTGGAATTTGTCACTGTTGTCTGGTTTCGCTTTCCTATGGACTCATCGCCAACACCCATCGCTGCGTATGCGTAGGCTGCCGCTTTTGTTCGCTGGTGTTTCCGTCCTTCACATCTATGGTGCCCTCTGCACGCTATGTACGTACGCCCACATCTACTACATCCAAGTTTGCTTTTGCATTACGTGGATCTGCCAACACCGAGCATGTGCTGACTTGATACCCCTAGCCTACCCATTCGGCGCTGTATTTCCTTGCTCGGTCGAGTTCTGGGCAATGTCAATTCTTGTGCCCTTAGGAATGGCCCTGTTCCATGCCTCGAACAGTCAGTTCTTGCACCTTGCAGCTCGCCAGAAGCACTTCGCTCGGATGAGCTCGTTGAAGGACCACGAGCCCATCGATGAGAAAAAGGCTCAAGAGGTCGTCAACAGCCGCTGGAAGAGGATCATGAATGGAATGGAGCGCGCCGACAATATCGAACGAACATTGATCTTCATCGGCATTGGCATGGCTGTTCAGGTAAGCACCCTCTACAGCTACTACTTAACATAAGCTAATCCACTGCATAGATGGCCCTCACTCTCTTTGTATACTTCGCATCCCGAAAGTTCCACAGTGGCTTTGGTATCATCGACTACACCGTTGTCGGCACCGGTATGGAAGTGCGCATGAAGTGCAGCAAGGGCTGGGAATGGTGGCTATCGATCGTGTGGCAGCTGTTTTGGTCCTGGGTATACGCGCCTTGGATTCTCTTCAAGTCTCGCGGCATCCGCGATGTGCACGGTTGGCGCCTACAGACTATTATCTGCTGCGTTGCTGGGTATGTACTAGGAATTGCTTGTTCGCGTTCGTCACTGACTCCCGCAGGCTTCCCGCATCTCCGCTCTGGCTCATCGGTCTCTACACTCCCGCGTTTGCTCCCATGAACGCCGTCTTCCCTCCACCAGTGTGGTTCTCAGTCTGCTTCTGCATCATGGAGATCACCAGCATCGGCTTCCCTATCCTCGACGTACTCAGAGGCAACAAACTCCGCCAAGAGACTCTCGACGCAATCGCAAACTGGGAAGCTCGCCAGAAATCGGCAGGCTTGGACGCAGCCTCCATCGACGTCAAGAGCACCAGTGAATACTCGAACACGACCACACTCAAGTCTGGCGGGGAGGTCAGCATCGGCAACCAGTCATTCCAGTCATTCGACTCGCAAAAGTCCGACATCCTGACCATGACTGCTCTGGAGAACGCACTCAGGACTAATGCCATGCCACTGCTCCAGTTTGCTGCTTTGAAGGATTTTTCTGGTAAGTCTTTCACGCCCAACTACTGCACGAACGTATACTGACTACATCCAACAGGCGAAAACGTCAGCTTCCTCACCCACGTCGCAGACTGGCGCCTCTACTGGTTCTCACCCAAGGCATCCATCGCCGAACACCGGCGCAGGCAGTTCCTCGCTGCCACGCGCATCTACGCTCACTTCATCTCTCTCGAGTTTTCCGAATTTCCTATCAACATTTCATCCAAAGAGATGAAGCTCCTCCACATGGTCTTTGAGAGGACCGCAAACCTCCTATTCGGCCGCCGCCGCAACTCCGAATCCTCATCCGTCAGCGACGCCACACCCTTCGACAACGTCATGCCCGATGACGCCTCCGATCTGCCCATCAACGTCTCCGCCAAAAGCAACCACCTTTCCCCCAACGCCATTAGCCTCGACAAGCTCGGACGCGCCAACCTTAGAGCCGTGTCTCGCATGGGCGAGCTGTACGACGACGAGTCTGTTGCCGATGTCGAGGTGCCGGATGCGTTCAATGAGCTCGTGTTTGATGCTGCCGAGAAGGAGATCAAGTACCTTGTTCTCACCAACACGTGGCCGAAGTTTGTCAATGTTTCGCGTGCGAATAGTCAGTTGACTAGGGATGCGGATGAGGAGAAGGGTAATGCTTGGATGCGCAGGTTTCTTTGCGCATAATGCTTGCGTGAAGAGGTGGGACGGCGATACTTAATAACATAATTTGATACCCCAGTTGCTAGACATGGCACCAATAAAAAACTCAATCTATAACATCATACCAACATTCACATTGTGTCGTTCTTCGCCTGTTGTACAGAGGACGCCATGGCCTGCTCAGGTACCTCCGTCGCAACTGCCGAGCCCCGAGCCCCGATCCACATCTTCACCATGACGTATACGTTCTAGAATTCTCGCACACCACGCAGCAGCATCCATCGCGTTTAAACTCCGATACCACCGAGATCTTGCTATGGTGGGGATAACAGTAGTTATCGAGCTAGGGTAGAGATTGGCTGGTGGCGGCGTTGATGATGTTTCCATGAACACTACAGCTTCGCTATAAAGACGCGCCTTCCCGGCCGCTTTCCATACCTACCTATCAACGAAACATTCGTATCAAAACCACATCATGTCTCTCAAGTACAACAAAGTCCTCGTCCTAGGCGCCACATCCGGCATCGGCTGGGCACTCGCCGAGAAGATAGTCCAAGACGGTAAACACGCCATCATCGTCGGCCGACGACAAGAAAAGCTCGATGAATTCCAAAAGGCGCACGGCAGCGACAAAGTCTCAACCTACGCCTTCGACATCACCAAGCTAGACGAAATCCCCAAGTTCGTCAAAGATGTAACAAGCGCACATCCGGACCTCGACTCCATCTTCCTCAACTCGGGCATCCAGCGCGGTTTCGACTTCTCCAAGCCCGAGACAGTGGACTTGGATGTGCTAGAAATGGAGTTTAGGACGAATTACCTGAGCTACATGCACCTCACCACAGCATTCATCCCGTTCCTGCAGAAGCAAGACAACGAAACCAGCCTCATCTACACAACCTCAGGCCTCGCCCTCATGCCCCTGCCCCGCTGCCCAAACTACTGCGCTTCCAAAGCCGCACTGCACCACATGATCCTCGTGCTGCGCCATCAACTAGGCAATGGCCCGGGCAACATCAAGGTCATTGAGATCTTCCCGCCTGCGGTACAAACGGAGTTGCATGATGAGAAGCATCAGCCTGATATCAAGGATGGAGGCAATATTGGGATGCCGCTAGCGGAGTTTACGGAGGAGGCGTGGAAGGGGTTGGTGGAGGGGAAGGAACAGATTCCGGTGGGGTTTGTGGGCAAGGCGTTTGATGCGTTTGAGAATAAGAGGCAGGAGATGTATAGGCAGATTTTCTTGTCGGAGAAGTAGATGTTGAGGATTTGAGGGCTAGTATGTGTTTCAGGAAGCATGGATGGACGGATAGATGGCAGAGTGGGGCCTATTGGTACCTAGAAATTCAAGCCACATTTGGACCCTGATGTATAGGCTTAAGGAGATGTGCCGTTGAGAAAACCATCTTTTGCTATGAGCAAGTGATCGCAAAAAAAAACAATGCCATCAGATGCGTTCCTAGTAAGATCAATGGCTGTTTCATTCAACAAATAAAGTCGGGGCAGTTGCGCAGCCAACACGCGCACAGCCCCAATGCGGCGCAGACGTTCCGAGTGGTGTGGGTGCTAGGCGTGCTCCCGCCCGTATCAACTCCACCCCGTCTCACCAACTCCCGTCGCGCATTCTCTGACCGACTTCTCCTTACAATCTGCCTGAGCGTCTTCATAGAACCGATATTTGCGCATTACACGCGACCGAGAAACTTAAAACACACTCATCATGGCGGACAGCTTCAGAAACGCGATGATCAACCGGTCTCTCCGCGACATCAAGAACGTAAGCAGTATCCAGCTCCTGAACATCACATGATTCTAACGACATGGACGCAGAACCTCGAATTTCTCGTCGAGTCCAACGTCCTCACCCCAGCGCAACACGACACCATCGCATCGCAACTCCCCGTCTCAGCGGAAAACAGCGCGCGCGCCCTCCCCGCCGTGCCCTCAGCGCAGCTCTCTGCGATGAACATCCAGAGCGAGCCCACGCCTCCCCCCGAGAAGAAGAACCCAGCAAACATCGGCTACTACGCCGACACGCCCACCAACGCACCACCCCCAGCCTACCCCTCCGTCCCCGCCACACCCGCCGGCCCCCCCGTCCTCGCCCACGCCTCAGCAATGTACCAGTACAACGCGCAAGACGCGGGTGACCTCGCGCTTATGCCCAACGACAAGGTCGTTGTGACGGAGTACATGAACAACGAGTGGTGGAAGGGACGCAACGAGCGCACGGGTATGGAGGGTATCTTCCCTGCTAGCTACGTCCGCAAAGAGGAGAAGAGCGTTGTTCCTGCTTACAGTGGGGCGCCCGCACCGAGTAACTACGGTAACATGCCGTTGGATATTGCGAGTGGTGCGCAGCAGGGAGGACAGGTGCAGCCGGCTGGTGAGCCGAGTAAGATGGAGCAGAATGGCAAGAAGTTTGGTAAGAAGTTGGGGAATGCGGCGATTTTTGGTGCGGGTGCTACGATTGGTGGAAATATTGTCAATTCTATCTTTTAGATGGGGTGGTGGGAAAGATGGGATGGATGGAGATGTGGGTGCGAGGACTGCGCCCTGGCGTTTTTGGGTTGTTTTTGGGTTCGTTGTTACGACGTGTGGATTGCGGGATGGTATGGGATGAACAGGGTTTCTATCGGAACTAATGTGGTATAGGAAGATTGAATATGAGATTTCCTCGCTTATCAACAGACATACTAGCACTCTTGTGACAGCGTGGTTGTTTGCAGTGCATCATCGCCATCAAGTCCTACTTCAAGGACATACTCGCGACGGCATTGACATGCAGCTGGTGTGTTTGACAGGCCTACCAACAGAACCAACCACATACCAGTCAATTGCACTCCGCTTTCTCGTTTGCAGGTCAAGCAGATGCGTTGATATCTCCACACTTCACTACCAGACCCTACTGAAGTCGCTACAGCTTCGCACATCACTCACCGCACCACATCTTGAACACGCAGCCCGAAGTGCCACCGCAATGTCTCGTCGCCAACCCCAACCCTTCGAACCCCCCAGCTACGCCGCCGTCCAACAAGGCAACTTCGGCATCCCAGCTGCAGTTTCAAAATGGAATCCTTCCAACAGACCAGCAGCCCCTACACGTCATCGGTCCTCCTCACCCCCGTCTCGCGAGCCAGCGCCCAGACAGCGAAACCGATCGTACGCCCCTCCCTCGCTCCCTCCCTGCCCCCTTCTCCGCATATTAAAGACTTGGAACTGCGCTGACCGACTCAATAAAGCATGTGGGCCCAAGCCCTTGTTCTCTTCAACGTTATTGGGACGCCCTTGTCGTATGGCACGACGCTGGAACACCACTTTACAACGGTATTGCCTAGGCGTTCGATGCTTGGTCTAGCTATAATACCGAGTTTACAACTTTTCTTTCTCTTCGCCGCGCCGTTGCCAATCGGTTATGTATACCGCTGCTGTATACTCGACTCCGGTGCCCGACCCTGGGGCTGGAGAGTCTTGTTTGGAATAAGCGTACTCGTAGCGATTGCGGCACAGTTCTCGTTGTATGCAACGCAGAGTTATGTCGCTGTGGTCGTGTTGCAAGGACCCGTTCTAGGCACCGCACTGGGGGCGTGTTTCACGATTAGCAGTCTAGTCCTCGCCGGGCACTACAGAAACGATGTTCCGCTGGTGTCTGTGCAGAGTGGGTTTGCGGGCTTCGCAGGGGCGGTCGTGTATACCGCTCTATCCAGATTTGCATACGAAAGCAGTGAAGGTGGTAACGCGGCGCGCCTACATCTCTACACCGGCGCCGTAACAGCTGCCACACTGCTCACCGCATTCTTCCTCCTCGCTCGCCTCGATCCACAGAAAGAGAAGGATTGGATGAACGGACATACAATTCGTCTCTGTATGCCCAAACACTTCCTGGACGATTTAAAAGGCGGTGGTATGTGGTTTCTCCTCGGCTACATGTTTGTCTTCTCAGGGACCCTCATATACCCCTTCTACAGCATCCTGCTCCTCACCCAACCCCCCGGCCTCTTCTTCCCGGATACAGCAACATACAGTCTCCTCGCTATGTTAAGCGTTGCCGCTGTGTCAGGCTCTGCAGCGGCAAACATATATGTTTTAAGAACGGTTGGAGCGGTGAATATGTTCGTTGCTGCGGCGGTGCTGGGGGGTGCGGTATGTCTTGCGCCTGTGCTATATCCGGGACTCGTTGTTGTTATTCCGCTTGCGGCGCTGTATGGGGTTGCGCTTGGAGTGGTGTTTTCGCTGCATATGGTTGTTGTGGCGTCGTTTCTTAGTAGGAAGGTAGATGGGAGGTGGGAGGATGATATGCCCGCACGGGTTGCTGTTGGTATGGTGTTGGCGGGGTTTAGTGCTTTTGGTGGGGTTGTTGGGGCTGCGGCGTTGATTGAGGGGAGTGAGCGGGGTGGGCAGATTGCGATGAAGGTGGCGGGTGCTTGTATGGTTGGTGGTGGTTTTTTGGTTGGATGCGCGAGGTTGTGGCGGTGGAAGGAGGTGTTTTATGCTGTCTAGAGCATATGATGCATATCTGAGGTCGGATAAGCGCTTCTGGTTCAGTTCTTCGAGATTTGTGGATTTCATGTCTAATTACTAATTATTTTGTATATACAGACGCATACATGCGTGTCATAATGGTCATTCAAGCTTATACGTAGATGTAGCAGAAAGGTCCCTCAGTCGTGCTCATCAGATCCTCCATCCTCTCTGTGCCATCCGCAGCATAGCCAAGGTTGATAGTCGTGTCAAAGGTCGTGTTGGCCGAGGGAGGCATGTTCAAGAAGGTGCCAGTACCCGAGATACCGCCAGCCTCGCTCGTGCGCTTCTTGCGGTCGAGCTGCTGCCAGATCCACCAAGTCCTGTCAATCTGAGCGTGGTGGAGGTAGAAGAGCGGGTCACCGGGAGAGACGAAGAAGTCACGGCCGGGGTCACCGCCCATGGAGTAGTGACCACCGCCGTGGACACCCAGGCTGTCTGTTCCTGGTACACCCTGCATGACCATCTCGAATTGCCAAATGTCCTTCTTGTTGATGATGAGGTCGGCGATGGCGGTCGCGTTGGCCCACTTCTTGTTGCTGTAGTCGGTCAAGTCGCGTGTCAGACATCTGGGGTTGTAGGAAAGGCCGTCGCCGTTTGCAATCTCGGTTCCGTTGGTTGTGCTCAGAGCGACGGGGCCAAGGTTGACCTCTGGAATGATTGTTAGTATCTGTCTGAACATCTAGGGTTTGTACTGGGTACTTACTCATGTCCTTGAATGGACCGCTCGTTACACAGCCGCCACCGGTACCGGCGGGAATGTAGATGTATGGCTCGCCTCTGCCCGCAATGACAACTTGTCCCTGGCCGGGAATGAACTTTCCGTTGCCGGACATGGAAGAGGCAGATCCGTCGAGCATAGCCGACTTCTCGAGACCGCTAGCAGCAGTCTTGGCCCAGTCCCAGTAAGGCTGAGTGCCCTTGTAGCCGCACTCGTTCTTGAGAGCTTGCTCGTACTGCCAGGTGAAGTACCTGTGCCATGCCAGGAAGGTACCAGTGTAGTGGATTTCCATGGTCTTCAGGATGTGGTTGCCAACAAAGTCATCGAAGCGAGACTTTGCTCCTGGGATGAGTGAAGCAGGCGTGTTGGCCTTCTTCTTCTGGAGGCAGAGTACGGCATCGGTGTAGGCTTTGCGTTCCGGCTTCGTCAGGGCGCTCCATTCTTTGCGTACCGACACATTGTTCCAGGTGCAAGCAGCTCGCTTTGATGAAGTTGCTGCAAGTGCTTCCTCGACTTGTTGCTGAGCGAAGAGAGCCAATTGCTCAAGTTGTTCGGTTGCGACCGAAGGATCGCTCGAGGGAGCAGTAGGTAGCGAGGAGGGGTCTATCGGCGCATCTTGTGGAGCTGGTAGCGCGTGTGATAGAGTTCCAGCGAGCAGGGCCAGTGCGATGGGGGAGTTGAAACGCATATTGTCTGTTGACCAATGGAACTGATGGATCAGGAAGTGGCTTATTTAGCAGAAGAAGCTGAGTGCTGATGAGCAAAAGAAAAACGTGCCGCTCCCATACATATACCTCGAAGAGATGACCATACACCGCTACCGATTGAGCCTGCCATGCTCACTGCCGGGGTTGGTGGCGAGTACATGCCGAAGCCACCACGACCTTGCTGGAACAGTGCTGTACACCGCATCTAGTCTTGCTATCTCCGTCTGCTGGCGAAGAATTGGAGCAAGGCAAGGCGATGCCACGTGTGGGGCCAATAACTTTTCGGTGCCTGGAGCCTGTGCCTACCCATCTCCGACTATACTCATGCCCTGAGCGCAAGGACCCTGAGGCTAGATTGGCGGGCTACCTACGAACCGGGTCGTGTTCTCAAGCGAGTCCATACGAAGAGCCATCGTTCGGCGACATGTGCATGGCAAGATCGGAAGTAGCTTGCCGGACAACTCATATGGCGCCGATGTACCCATAGTGTCATGTCAAGGCTGCCCGGTCTTCAGATGGCCACGGGCCTAGCGTCGTTTGGATAAAGACCCAAAGTTGATGCGCGGGAACATGATGGGCGCGCAGCATTCTGAATCATGCCGGCTGCGAGTAATGTATGCGCTCCGCGGTTGTTAGTTACCCATACAACAGGTAGTTCGACAACTCTACCTCGATCATGTCCGTAAATCTATCATTTCCTGCCGAGGATGCCCTGATACCAGTCTGTTCCACGTCTGCAGGTCATCACGTCCGAGACCTGCATAATGAGCCGCGACCCGCCCACGTGCAGGAGAGGAAATATTCATCCTGGCGGCAAGCCATGTGGTATACGAAGATTCCCTGAAAAGTGTACTGATCCTTCCATAATTCAGGAGCCTGCATCGGGTCTGGTCGCTCGGATATCGTGCGTGTTAGGTGAAGACTGCTAAGCATTCTATGCCGCTGCACATTGGTGGCGCAATCATGCCATGGCGCTAGGCCACGCTAAGGGATGAGATCCGTCTTGCCGACTCCCCGTCCCGCTTCCTCCACTCCATATTCACACCGAGCGCAAGGCCAGTGAGGCCTCCAGTGCTTCCAAGCTACCGGTTAATCTCGATTGCGAATCTAACGTGCAGCCGCACGGGAGGCCCCATTCTGGCGCGGTCATTGGCTTACGCACCACCTTTCGAGTCTCTGAAAGCGTGCCGTCTGTTACGACCTTCCTTACAAGGCGCCTGGAAGCGACAAGCGCAGCAGATATTAGCCGATCTCTCAGCTCTCTTCAGTCCTGCCTCGGTTTGCAGTAGATGTACTGCAATATGCTGTCAGTTTGTTCTCGAGCTGACCGGCAGACGGCGTGTCCAAGCATAGCCTACGCGGCCCGGGGGATCTGCTCACTCTACTTTCCCGCAACGGCCCTTCTCTTCATGGCCTGATACCATCTGTGTCCTCAGATTGTTCTGCGAACTCCTCTCTTCTCCTGCCAATGCTCGGTTGTACTCCGTATTGACGAAATCATTCTCCACCGGCCCGTGCTCTAGACTAGCACAGTGCAGTGGGTTTAGTTTCGA